AGTGTGGCTCAATGATTTGAGCATTGTTCCATGGACTGAAAGGTCCTGGTTTGATTCCTGGTGAGGGCACATGCCCAGATGGCAGGATTGATCCCCTGTAGGGGATGTGCAGGAAGCAGCCAATTGATGTTTCTCTCTTACATCAATGTTTCTATCTATTTCTCTCTAAATAATCAATTTTAAAAACATGAAGGAAGGAAGGGAAGGGAATAAATAATAAAGGTCACAGTGGAAATAAGTGACATAGATACTAAAAATAAATAAATAAATAAATAAATAAATAAATAAATAAATAATCAGTAAAACCAAGAGCTGGTTGTTTTAAAAGATAAACAAGATTGATGAACCTTTAGCCAGATTCGCCATGAAACAAAGAAAGAGAACCCAAATAAGCACAATCAGAAATGAAAGAGGAGAAGTAACAACTGACACCACAGAAATACAAAGGATCGTTAGAAAATACTGAGAACAATTATATGCCAACAAATTGGACAACCTAGGCCAAATGGACAACTTTCTAGAACCACACAGTCTCCCAAAACTGAACCTGGAAGAGTCAGAAAACTTGAACAGACTGTAACAACTATGGAAGTTGAAGATGTAATCAGGAAACTCCCAGTAGACAATAGGCCAGGTCCAGAAGGATTCATAGGTGAGTTTTACAAACATTCAAAGAAGAATAACACCCTTTCTCCTCAAACCATTCCAAAAAAATCCAAGAGGAAAGAAGACTTCCAAGCATGTTTATGAGGCCAGTGTAATCATAATTCCAAAACCATATAAAGACACTACAAAGAAAGAAACTACAGGCCAATATCTCTGATGAACATAGATGCCAAAATCCTCAACAAATCAGATTCAGCAATATATTAAAATAATTATTCACCATGGCCAAGTGGGTTTTCATCCCAGGGATGTAAGTCTGGTACAATATTTGCAAATCATTATAAGTGATATACCACATAAACAAAATTAAAAAATAAAAATTACATGATTATATTGATAGATGCAGAAAAAGCATTTGACAACATTCAGCATCCATTTTTTATTAAAAAAAAAAAAAAAAAAGCTCAGCAGAGAGGGAATAGAGGGATTATATCTCAACATAATAAATGTCATATATGAAAAACTTACAGCCAACATACTCAATGGGCAAAAACTAAAAGCATTTTTTTAAGAACAGGAACAAGACAGGGATGCCCACTTTTGCTACTCTTATTTAACATAATACTGGGAGTCTTAGCTACAGCTGTCAGACAAAAAGAAAAAATAAACGGCATCCAAATTGGAAAGGAAGAAGTGAAACTGTCATTATTCACAAATGACATGATATTGTACATAGAAAGCCCTAAAGACTCCATAAAAATTCTACTAGATTTAACAAATGAATTTGGCAAAGTATCAGGTTACAAAATTAATATCCAAAAATTGACGGCATTCTTATACACCTACATTGAACACCGAGAAAGGGAAACTGAAAAAAACAATCCCATTTAACATTGCAACAAAACATTAAGATAACTAGGAATAAACTTAACCAAGGAGATAAAAGACCTGTTTTCAGAAGACTACAGGACATTGAAAAAAGAAATAGAAGAAGATATAAAAAGTGTTCTTGGTTATAGGTCCATGCTTTTCATTACTTCAGATATCTCATGCCATGCCAGTCCCTTTTGTTCTGTAGTGTTTCTGTTGAGAGATTAGCTGACAGTCTTATGGAAGCACCTTTGTAGATAATTAATTGCTTTTTTTTTTTTTTTGTTTTGCTAACTTTAAGATTCTCTCTTTGTATTTAACCTTTGTCATTTTAATTATGATGTGCCGTGGTGTGGGTCTATTTGGGTTCATCTTGTTTGGGGTTCTCTGTACTTCCTGAACTTGTGTGTCATTTTCCTTCACCAGGTTAGAGAAGTTTTTTGTCATTTCTTCTTTTTTTTTTTCATTGCTTTTTTTAAGGTAAAGTGGAAGGGAGGGAGGGAGGGAGGGAGGGAGGGAGTAGAAAGAGAGAGAGAGAGAGAGAGAGAGAGAGAGAGATTGAGAGATTGAGATCGAGATCAATTGGTTGTTTCCTGCATGACACTGACGAGGGCTGGGGATCGATCCTGCAACCTAGGTACATGCCCTTGACCAAGAATTGAACCCAAGACCCTTTGGTTCATGGGCCAACACTCTAACCACTGAGAGAAACCAGCTAGGGCTGTCTATTTCTTCAAATAGGTTCTCAATTTCTTGCTGTCTCTCATCTTCTTCTGGTACTCCTGTGATGAGAATGTTGTTATGCTTCATGTTGTTCAAAATTTCCTTAAGCTATCTTTGTTGTTTTTTTTTTTTAATTCTTCTTTCTTTTTGCTGCTCTTAATGGTTTTTTATTTTTGCCTTGTCTTCCAAATCACTGATATGATCCTCTGCTTCATACAACCTACTTTTTATTCCTGTACTCTTGTTGTCAGGTACGGTATTCCTTTTTATTTTGGTTTCTATGTCCTTTTCATGCTGTTGTAGTTCTCACTAAGTTCCTTGAGCATCTTTATAAACATTGCTTTAAACTCTATATCTGATAAATTATTTGCCTCCATTTCATTTTTCATTCCATTGCCTCTTTTTTCTGGATGTTCCTTCTGTCTTTCATGTGGGTCTGTTTTGTTTTTTTTCTCTCCCAGTTTTGGTCGTCTCTTTGTGTTTTTTCCTTTGTATTAGCTAAAACTACTATCACTCCCAGTACTGGTGGGTGGCTTTCTATAGTAGGTGTCCAGTGGGACCCAGTGATGCATTCTCCTTGATCTCCTGAGCTGAGTGCTCTAGGAATGTCTTTTGTGTGGGTTATGTGGGCCCTTCTGATGTAATTGCTGTTGTCCATTTTGTGGGTGGGCTGGACCCTCACACTGGTTGACTGTGAGGCTCAACTCTGGCCACATTGTGCAAACTGTTGTAATCTTGCTGACAGAACAAAATAAGGTGAAACAAAACAAAGCTGAAAACAAAACAAAAAACTAACAACAACAACAGCAGAATAAGAAAAAAAAAAGAGAAAAATAATAAAAGACAAGGGACAAAATGAATAAGAGAAGAAAAAAGAATATTAAAGAAAAGAAGGAAAACTAATTAAATAGATTTGCTGTGACTCTCAGTCTTCTGTAGCAGGTGTCCTGTGGGACTCAGTGGTATGGTCTCCTTGATCTGCTGAGCTGGGCGTGCTAGGAATGTTCCTTGTGTGGGTTGTGGGGCTCTCCTATTGTAAGTGAGTCTTGATTGTTGTTGGCCTGTTCACTCATGGGATTCGCCATCTGGCTGGCTGACTGTGAGGCTCATCCGTGACCATAGCATGTGAGCTGCTGTGTAGGTGCTGACCAAAACAAAGTAATAATGTTTAAAAAAGGAAAAAAGAATAAGAAAAGAAGAAAGAATAAAAAGGATAAGAGAAGACAAAGAAAAGGAAAAAAGAATAAGGAAAGAAAAACAAATAGCAAAAAAACATTGAGAAAGGAAAAAAATAAAATACAGAAATAGAAAGGGAAAAAAAAATTTAAACAGAAAAAAAAAGAATTTACCTCAGCAGAGTTTAGTGCCTCTGCAATCTCCCTTTGGATATACTGTTTGTGAAGTTTGTTGGATCCTGCTCCAAGGTTGTCTGAAGCTGGCCACTTGGTATATTGTTTCTGGTCATTTTGAGAAGGACTCTGGTGTAGGCCAATGTCAGATGCTGTCTTGTGCCTGGCACTCAGCAACCTGTTTGAAGCTACAGGCGATCCATAGATTTTGCTGCCTCTGCCTGGCTTGGCCTGCACATGGGAAGGACCAAGCTGTGCTCCAAAGCCCGCTTTTACCAGTACCAGGCCCTGGAGGTGGGTCAGCAAACGTACCAAGGCCCTGCAGTTTGCCTCTCTGCCTGCCTTCTCCTGCTGGTGGCCTGTTAGGCTCCTTCACTGAAAGAGCTTCTGGAGGGATCGAGAGGAATGGGTTAGTGGATCTCCTGTGAGTGGGAGGTGCCATTCAGACTTCGGGGAAGGTGGTGGATGTGATCCCCTGTCCCAGGGCCACATGACTGAATCTGTCCTGGATTTTGCCCTGGACCCAGCAGGACAGAACCCCTAGTAGTCAGGCATGTGGGGCCTTCAGAGCCCAGAGGTTGGGTCTTCCAGATGCTGGGAGGGTATTTCTATCACATCTCCTGTGAGGGGGAAGTGCCAGTCAAGGTCAAAGGAAAATGAAGAAATGGCCATGCCCCAAAGCCAGTCACTGACACCCCCTGAGTCTGCTTAGACTTCTACTTCCCAGTCTATGTTGCTAACTCCTCAGCAAGGCTTACGATCCTCAGGGTGGGGTGAGAGGGATTCCTGAGGGTGAGGTAATTGCTTTCTCCCAGGTCGGTGCCACTTGGAGAAGATTGCTCCACCCAAGATGGGCACTGCAATATCTGAGAATGACTCAGTACAGGGATCCCGGCTGCTGTCTCCATATGTCTCTCCCCAGAGCCACAAACCCAGACTCTCCTCAGGCAACTCCACTCAGCACTGCCCTTCCTCCTTAAAGTTGGCCCTTTAACAGGGTGCCTGTGTCTCTAGCAGACTCTGCTTCTCCTTGGTGGACAGAAACTCTGCTGCTTTTCACAGCTATATGGACGCCTCTTCAAGGCTCTGGAGCTCTGGGCTAGGGAGGCTGGCCTGGGATTTAGGTACCACATCTCTTAGGGTAAAGCCCCCCAAAACTGAGATACCCCTCAAGCATCTCAGGTGCTGTCCTTAGGAGTGGGGCCAGTCCCTTTCTCTTCTCCACCCTTCCTACCACTCTCGACATGCCTTTTTCTGCAAATCCTATGAGACTTCTCTTAAGCTTCTCATCAGTTGGTTATTCAGGGTGATTGTTCCCCCAGTTTAATTGTATTTCCAGTAATGTTTTGGGAGAAGGTGATTTCAAGAATCACCTAGTTTACTGCCATCTTGGAAAACTTTGGAATAGTAACATTTTTAATTTTTGTTTTTCTTTCGTTCCTCTTTCTCTAGGAGAATATGAAAGTGTTACTCAGGCTTGTTTGTTTCATAGCTCTCCTGACTTCTTCTCTGGAGGCTGGTAAGTTAAGCATTTCTTTGTGTTATTATCTGCTAAGAGAATCTATTACTTAGAATACATGAAGTAGCTTATCTGACAGAGTCATTTATATTACCTTTTCTGTCGAATCCCAGGACACACAGCCTCCTGGTCACACGACTGTACTGATAAGTATTCTTTTAAGCATATTTCATTCTCTCATTTACATATTGGGAAACTGAGGCCCAGTGAGGTTAAGAGCCTGAGGTCATGTTTCTAGTCTCAGAGCAAGACTTAAAGTCCAGGTCTCTGGTGTCTAGTCCAGGCCTTTTCCCACTGTATTGCTGATTGAAGAGAATGATAAAGGAAATCCTGGCTTTCATTCAGAAGAGGTGTTAAATGCAGTATTTGTGAACCCACAGCTGAAAACTATCAAGAGTCAGTTCTTTGTTTTCTCTATTTATTCATGTTCACTCTTTTCTCTTTCTCCCTTACTGCAAATGCATTAGACCCTACCATGTATAGGCACAGGGGCTGAGGGGGCAGAAGTGAATAGTCCAGGCAGAAATTTCTGCTGGCAGGTGGTTTCCATTCCAGTTTGTTTAGAAAAGTAAATATTTATTATGTCATGTGGTGATAAGTGTAGAGAGAAAAACAGCAGGAAAGGAAGATATAAAGTTTTGAGATTGGGGGTACCAGAAAGTTAAATTTTTTGATAGTGTGACCAGAAAGTTGATTTTTGAGTCAAACCTGAAGGAGGGAGCTATACAAATATGAATCTGGGGAAACATTCCAGGCAGCATATGCTAAGGCCCTGAGACCAACAGTGCAAGCATGGTCTAGGCACTAAAATACCGTTGTTGTTGGAACAGTGAAAAAATGAGGGAGGTGCTAAGGAATTAAGTCATTTGGGTAATAATACATGCCAAATACAGATATGCTAAGAAAAAAAATGTCTGAGAGTTGTTTACTTGATTGAGCAACTTAAAAGTCATAGGTGACATTGATCAGAACAATTTTGGTGGGGTGGTGGGGCAAACCCCAGATAAACAAAGTGTATGTCTAGCTGAGACCTTACGTTAGGTTTATTCTTTTTATTACTACTAATGTTTTTGCTGCTGTTATTCCCAATATCTAAATACTTAGGAGTCCTTGCTCTGCACAAGTTTCATGCTAAGTGCCAAATCACTTTTGTTTCAATTCTGTGAATTTTAGCAGCTTTATTGAAGTTGTAATTGACATATAGGGTGTCCCAATAAAATGTATGCACAAAAAAAGTGTAATTATAAAGCAGTGTTTATTAAAATACATTTCATTTTCAAAATGTAATAGAATCTAGACACCTTGTGTGTGTGTGTGTGTGTGTGTGTGTGTGTGTGAATGGACACCATGTATAATAACCTACACATGTTTAAAATATACTATTTGGTGTGTTGACATATATATCCACCCCTGAAATCATCGTCATAATCAAGATAATGCATATATATCCATCACTTTCTAAACTTTCCTGTTGGTCTGTGTTTTCTATAGTGTATGGCTACTGAAGTCTCTGCTTGGTCATCTAATGGTCATCTAATTTCCTTAGACTATTTGGCCCAATAAGTCTTCTACCCTTTGTTGAAGGGTAGTATGTATGTTGAGGTATGCCTTCAACACCTAGGCTGTTCACAACTCTGTCTCAGTGCTCACTTCCCACTTGTGCATGACCTTTTCCATATTTAAGAGATTGGTGCCTTCTCTGGTCTTCCCTGGGCATGTACACAGCCATGTGTAGATATGCACTCTTCTGGATTACCCAGGAATATTTTAGAGCTTTTCAAATCTCCTTATAGCCATTTAGTTCCCCAGATCTTCCTTTTCCTTTTGACCAGAGTCTTGTTTGTTTCAATTGGTGTCATGGCTTCAGGTAGCTGCAGTGTTAAACAGTTGCCACTGATTGATTTTTTAAACAAACACTCTGGGGATAGGGCTTTTCCTGTGGAGCTCTGAGTCAGGAAAATAACAACACCACTCTGTGAGTGTGACTTTTCCACAGAACTGCCAGTGAGGTCAAATTGTGGCAGTGCTCAGGAATGGGACTTTTTGAGGGGCTCCAGACCTGATCTGCTCCCACAAGCCTTCTGGTTTTCACAGCTACTGTGTTTGTACGGCTGCAGGTGTTCAAGTTTATAGTGGTGCTGGGAAGAGCAGAGGGTAAGAATAGTTTAAATTACAAAGCCACAAATCCCGCTGTTCTACTGAGATGCAGCTGTTGCTGTTGTTTTTTATTTATTTATTTGTTGTTATTGTTTTAACCCTCACCCAAGGATATTTTTCCATTGATTTTTAGGAAAAGTAGGAGGAAAGGAGGGAGGGGGAGAGAGAGAGAGAGGGAGAGAAACATCAGTGTGTGAGAAACACATCGATTTGTTGCCTTCCACACGACTCTGATCAGGGTTGGGGATTGAACCTACAACCCAGGTACGTGCCCTTGACCGGGAATCAAACCCATGAGTCTCCAGGCCAGTGCTCCAACTGCTGAGCCAAACTGGCCAGGGCTGCTGGTGTTTTTAAAATAAATGTTCCAATTATTGCAACCCTTTGATTTTGGAAAGTTTTAGTCTTTACAGAGGAGTGAATTTATGGAGACTCTCACTCTGCCATTCTGGAAATCCTGCCTCAAAAGCTCAGAAGATTTTTTGTTTGTTTTTGTTTTGTTCTTCTCACATAAGAATATCCTATTTATTGAAAAGACTGTCTTTTCTCCACTAAGTCTCCTTTCTGCCTTTGTAAAAAATCAGTTGAATATATTTGGATAATTTATTTCTGGGAGGTCTGTTCTGTTCAGTGATCTATTTATTTTTATGCCAATACCATGCTGTCTTAATCCATGTGGCTTTGTAATAAATGTTCAAATAAGGCAGTGTAATTTATTCAACTTTGTTATTTTTAAAAACAAAGTTGTTTTGACTAACTATATATCAATTTTAGAATTAGCTTGTTAATTTGTGCTAAAAGTCCCACTCAGATTTTGATTGGCATTGAGCTGAATATAACCCAATTTAGGGACAGTTAACATCTTAATGATATTGAATGTTCTGATCCATGAATAGAGTATATATTTCTTTATTTATTTAGATCTTGTTTAATTTATTTAAGCACGATTTTATAACTTTCATTGGATAGATCTGATGCATCGTTTATCACATTTATCCTTAATTATTCATATCTTTTAATGCCATTATAAATAGTATTTTTAAAAATTCAGCTTTAATTGTTCTTAGCAAACCCATTCAATTTTGCGTACTTATGTTACATTACAATTTATTAATCCTTCTAGGTCTTTTGTAGATTTTAGAGTGTATTCCATATAGATGTTCATGTGATCTACAAATAAAGCCATTTTACTTTTTCCTTCAATCTGTATGACATTTATTAATTTTTTCTTGGCTTAATGTACTAATTAGATCTCTCAGTATACAATGTTGAATAGAGGTGATTAGAATGGACACCCTAATCTTACTCCTTATCTTACTATATATGAGAGCTGTAGGTTTTCCATAGCTGCCGTTTATTCGATTCAGGAAGTTCATCTCTATTCCTAGTTTACTGAGAGTTTTTATCAAAAATGGATGTTGGATTTTGTCAGTTTTTTTCTGTACCTATTCAGATGACTATATAGTTTTTCTTAAACTCTGTTAATATATGGAATTTCATCAATTGATTTTTTTTTAATGTGAATCCAACTTTGAATTTTAGGATATATACATCATAATGTATTATCCTTTTTTCGTGTATTGTAGGATTCAGTTTGCTAGACTGTTTTAAAGAAATTTTGCATCTTGGCTTATGGGTTTTTTTTTGTTTGTTTCTTGTAATGTCTTTGTTTGGTTTTAGTATTAGAGCAATGTTGACCTCATAGAGTGAATTGGGAGTGTTATTAACTGTTCAGTTTTCTGCAGGAGTTTGCAAAAAATTGGTATTGTTTCTTCTGTGAATATACCAGTAAAGTTATCTAAGCCCCAAATTTTCTTTGTTGGAAGATTTTTAGTATTTGTATTGTTATTCAGGTTATTTCTTTCTTTTTGAGGAAACTTTTATAGCCTGTGCCTTTCAAGCAATTTGTTTGTTTTACATAAGTTGTTGACGTTACTGGCATACATTTGTTCTTAATATTTCCTTATTACTCCTTTAAAAATGTTTTAATGAGAGAGGCCATCTCTCTTTTTTCCTGATCAGTCTGACTGGAAATTTTATTAATCATATTGATTTTCTGAAAGAGTTAACTTTCGGTATCTGTGATTTTTCTGTTTTCCATTTCGTTGATTATCTCTTTAATATAATTTTTTATCTTCTGCTTAATTTGGGGACAATTCTTTTTTGTAATTTATTTATTTATTTATTTTTTTAATCCTCATCCGAGGACATTTTTCCATTTTTTGTACAGACAGAGTGGGAGGGAGAGAGAGGAAATGAGAGAGAGGGAAACATCGATGTGAAAGGGACACATCGAGTGGCTGCCACCCGCACGACCAACCAGGGCCGGGGACAAACTGCAACCGAGGTACATGCCCTTAGCGGGAACCGAACCCGGGTCTCTCCGGACCGCAGGCCGACGCTCTAACCGCTGAGCCAAACCGGCCAGGGCCTTTTTTCTAATTTATTAAGTGGAAACTGAAGTCATCAGTTTGAAATTTTTTTCTTATATGGGCATTTAGTACTGTCAATTTCCTCTTTCACAGTTTCCACTGCGTGCCGTCACTTTTGACATGTGTTTTTCTTGTCATTCAGTCAGAATGTCTTTGATCTCTTTCTTCTTTCATTCATGGGTTATTTAGGAGTGTGTTTTTTATTTATTTATTTTACAAATAATACTTTTTATGATTGCATACTGCACACTGTGGAAGTTTTGTTCAGATCTGCTGGTGCCGTATGGAGCTGCTAAGTGAGCACAGTACGGCTTCCCAGCTAACAGCGTATTTTATATTCATTTAAAATGCTTTCTCAAATATATTGGGAATTCCTAGATAACTCTGTTATTGGTACATAATTGAATCCCATTGTCACCAGAGACCATACTTTGTCCAATTTGAATCCTTTTAAATATAACAATTACTGGGTTTTGATCAAGAACATTGAATATCTTGGTAAGTTTGTTGTGTTTACTTAAAAATGTGTATTTGGATATTGTTTAGTAGGATTTTCTATAAATATCAGTTATGCCAAACTTGTTGTACAAATCTTCTGTATCATAACTGATTATCTAATTGTTCTACTTGTTCTATCAATTATTGGGAGTAGAGTATTAGAATCTCTGACTATAACGATGGTTTTTTAAAATTTCTCCTTGCTGTCTAGCATTTTGCTTCAAGTATTTTGAAGCACTGTTAGTAGGTGAGTGAACATTTAGGGTTACTATGTACCTCTTTAAAAAATTTTTTTTTTAATTCTCACCCGAGGACATTCTTGCATTTACCTTCAGACAGAGTGGGAGGAAGAGAGAGAGAGAAACATCCCTGTGAGGGAAACACATCATCAACTGGTTGCCACTCACATGACCCCAACTGGGGCCAGGGACAAACTGCCAAGGTACATGCCCTTAGTGGGAACCGAACCCAGGACTCCCTAGGGGGAATTGAACCCGGGACTCCCCGGTCTGCAGGCTGACGCTCTAACCGTTGAGCCAAACCGGCGAAGGCTACTATGTACCTCTTGATTCTTGATGAATGACTTCTTTATCATAATGAAGTTATCCTTTTTATTCCTGGTAATGGTCTTTTCTATAACATCTATTTTTTCTTTTGATTAGTGTTAATATGGTATAATTGCCCACCTTTTTTTTTTAATTTTTTATTTTTTTTTATTTTTGATGTATTTGTATCTTTTTATTTTGTTAGGCAGCATACAGTTGGATTCTTCTTACTTTATCTAATCTGATCATCTCTGCCTTTCAATTGAGGTGTTTAAACCATTAAAATTTTAAATTGATTATTAATTCATTTGGTTTAATTTCAGGATCTTATTGTGTTAGTGTCTGTTTGTCCCATCAAATCTTTGTTACTTTTCCTTTTTTTTTTCTTGCTGTCTTTTGGATTGATTGAGAATTTTTATGATTCGCCCTGGCCGGTTTGGCTCAGCGGTTAGAGCGTCGGCCTGTGGTCCAGAGAGACCCGGGTTCGGTTCCCGCTAAGGGCGCGTACCTCGGTTGCAGTTTGTCCCCGGCCCTGGTCGGTCGTGCGGGTGGCAGCCACTCGATGTGTTCCTTTCGCATCGATGTTTCTCTCTCTCTCTCTTTTCCTCTCTCTCCCTCCCACTCCACCTGAACAAAAAAATGGGAAAATGTCCTCGGGTGAGGATTAAAAAAAAAAAAATGAGAAAATTTTCATGATTCATTTTATCTCGTGTGTTGCCTTATACCACTAATTTTTTTTTTTTTTTTTTAAATAACTGCTCTTGGAGCCCTCCCTGGACAGTGTGGCTCAATGGTTTGAGCATTGGCCTCAACCTTTTGACCAAAAGGTTCGATTACTAGTCAGGTTGCAGGTTTGATCTCTGGTCGGGCATGGGAGGTAACTGATCAATGTTTCTCTCTCACATTGATATTTCTCTCCCTCCTTCCCTTCCTCCCTTCCTCTCTCTGAAATTATTTTTTAAAAAGTGCTCTTGAGCTCCTAGTATTCATCTTTAATTATCACTGTTTACTTTTAAGAGATAGGATACCTTTCACTTATAGTATATAAACTTAAAACGGTATATGTCTATTCTAGAAATGAGCCCTGTTGTTTCCATGCATTTTACTACTTTATATGTCATAAATTTCACAATACACTATTATTTTTGCTGTAAACATGCATTTATTTTAAAAGAAATCTAAATAATAAGAAAAATTATTTTATAATTACCCATGTAGTAAACATTTCTGGTATATTTATTCCTTTGTGTAGATTCATTTTTCATCTGATACTGTTTTTCTGATTTCTGAAGGACTTCTTATTTTTTCTGATAGTGCAGGTTTACTGGTGATGAATTTTTACAGCATTTATAAATACAAAAAGTTCTATTTTGCCTTTATTTTCGAAAGATACTTTCACTGAATATGGAATTATAGGTTGAATTTTTTTTCTTATAGTACTTACGTTTGTTCCACTTTCTTCTGCTTGTATCATTTCTGGCAAGAAGGCTGGATCATTTTTCCTTGTTTGGTGGAGTTTTCTTCATGTTTCTTTGGTGTGGGGCTCATTATGATTTTGGGGTCTGTGAGTTCCTCATTTTGATTAAATCTTGAAAAATTTCAACCTGTATGTTTTCAAATACTTTTTCTGTTTCACTCACCTTCCTTCTTCTTCAGAGATTCCTATTGCGTATATTGAAGTTGTCCTGCAGCTAATTAATGCCCTGTTTATTTTGTTCTTTTATTTGTCTCTCTGTTTAATTTTAAATAGTTTCTAATGACATGTCTTAAAGCTCACTAATCTTTTCTTCTGCAGTGTCAAATCTGTCATTAATCACATCCAGTGGTTTTTTTTTTTTTGTTTGTTTGTTTGTTTTTGTTTTTAAGTCAATATTGTAGTTTTATCTCTGGAAATTTGACTTAAGTTTTTAAAGAAAACTCTCATGTCTCTTAATTTGTTTGATCTAGTATCTTGAACAAGTGGGACACAATAGTAATAACTGTTTTAATTTTTCCATTTATTAATTCTGTCATCTCTTATTTCTGGGTCAGTAGTGATTATTTTCTCCTCATTATTGGTTATATTATCCTGCTTCTTTGCATGCCTAGTAATTTTTTATCAGATGCTAGACATTGTTATTTTTACCATGTTGGGTGCTAGATATTTTTGTATTATTGAAAATGTTCTTGAGTTTTTTCTGTTATAATTTTGTTACTTGAAAATAGTTGATCCTTTCAGGTCTTGCTTTTAAACTTTATTAGTCATGATAGGAAAAAGTTTTATTCTAGGCCTAATTTGCCCCATCTACTGAGTCAAAACCCTCTGGGTTTTCTACCCGATGCCCCATGATTAATGAGGTTTCCATACCAGCTGTTAACAGCTACTATTTCCAGAATTATGTACACTCCAGGTATTATTTATTCTAATCCTTTTGGCAGTTCTCATTCTGGCCTTGGGTACTTTTTCTTATATACATACATTAATCAATACACAGCTGAAAACTTGAGGGAGACTCTCTGTAGATCAACAAAGTGCTTGCTCCCTCTCCATTCCCTTCCCTGTTCAGTGCTAATCTCTTTGGTACTCTGCCCTGTAAACTTTTGTTTTTTCTGGATTTCAGGCTCCATTTCCTCAACTCAGAGAACACTGGACTTTGCCTATGTTTCCTCCTTGCAATGTCATGGCCTTGAATATCTCTAGGCAGTAATTTGGGAAAATTATAGGGCTTACTTCCTTTGATTTCTACCTTTCTGATATTTCTATTTTTTATTTCCTGATGTTCAAAGTCTTAAACATTATTGTTTCATATACTTTTCTCATTTTTTAGTTGTTCAGGTGGGAGGGTAATTCCAGTTCCTGATATTCCATCTTGTACTACAGCCTCATCTCTCACCTCTACATTTTCAACACTTTTTAGATGAGTTACAAGAGGATGAGAGTTTAAGTAACTGTTCAAGGGCGCTCAGGTAGTAAGTAACATGACTGAATTTGAATATAAATCTTTCAGACTTCCAAGATAAGGCTGTTAACCTTAAGGCTGTTAAAACTTTCATATTTAATACGAATCGATGTATTGAATAATTGTTGTGTTTATATGTAGCTGTTACACTAAGAAATATTGACAGATTTCATTGGAATTTGCTTTTCCTTTCTCCCTTTTAAAGGTGAATGTGAGACACGAGAAGAAAAAATGATTTTAGTTTCTTCTGCATATGAAATTGATGTTCGTTCATGTCCTCTTAACCCAAATGAAAAAAAAGGCACTATAAATTGGTATAAAAATGACAGCAACACACCTATATCTACAGAAAGAGACTCCCGGGTTCATCAGCACAAAGATAAACTCTGGTTTGTCCCAGCTGAGGTGGAGGACTCAGGGCAGTACTACTGTGCAGTAAGGTATGAAGGGACCAGTCAAGGCATCACAAATGTGCTCTGTGTGCCTGTGATGGTTAAAGACAGAAAAATCCTTTTATAGTGCTTAAATCACCTATTTTGATTTATTTTAGAAATTCAACTTATTGCCTCAAGATTAAAATAACTGCAGAGTTCGTACAGCATGAACCTGACTTGTGTTACAGTGCACACGCTGTGTTTACACAGAGACTGCCGGTCGCAGGGGATGGGCAGCTCGTGTGCCCTTATTTGGATTATTTTAAAGATGAAAACAACAAGTTACCCAAAATACAGTGGTATAAGGTAATACTATATGAAATGTGATGTTTTAGTTTCCCAGTAAATAAAAAAGCTTTCTGTCATAGACAATATGTTGAATCTGCAAAATACGTTTTCACTTGGCATATATTTTGCGTTTGGTTGGTGAAACTCAATAGGAAAATTTTTAAAAAATAGTAAGACTATATATATTTAATTTGCAGCTTAACTAAAAGCTTATTTTCTCTTATTTTACTTAAGAAGACACATTTGAGAAGAGTATAGTAAGAATAAAAGAAGTTTAAAGATAAGACAGTATAAATTTTGAGTTTTTAAGAGATAACTATTTATTACAAAATGTATTCTTTTGTGTCTTATTAAAAATATAAAGTCGTCCTTAACTAACTTAGTAGTTTCTTTCTTTTTTCTTTTTACTCCTCATGCGAGCATATGTTTTTATTGATTGTAGAGAAAGAGAAACATTGATTGGTTGCCTCCTATACACGCCCAGCCAGGGATCAAACCTGTAACTTGAGTATGTGCCCTGACTGATAATCAAACCCATGACCTTTTGGTATATGGGATGATGCTCCAACCAACTGAGCCACACTGGCCAGGGCAGTGGTTTGTGTAACTGTGTTAAAAGTGATTGGCCAGCACTCCACAGAACATTCATGTTTGGGCACCTGGGATCTACCCGGCTTGTTGGAGCTTCCTTGGGGCATCACGCTGTGGAGGGTAAGAAACACAGTCCAGGATGTATGTGAGGAAAGGAAGTACAGCATTATAAACAAACTATAATGTGAGCGTTCTTTTCTCAAGTGTATTTGTTTTCATTGCCAAATAAATTTGTCTTTAATTACAAGGCTTATATGCTTAAGCATTTACTATCCTTGGAGTATAATTATGGCTGTTACCATAAAAATTACAATATTAAAACTTGTTTGCAAGGAACCTTTCTTTTTATATACATGTATATTTGTGTGTATATATAAATATATGTAAAATATACATATTATATATGTATAAACAGTTGCTGATATGAAAAAATGGAATTGTTTTTCCTGGCAGAGCAGAGAAAGTTATTAATTGGTTTTCAAAGCTTCCTTTCTGTCACTTTATCTAGGATTGCAAACCTCTGCTTCTTGACAACATACACTTTATTGGAGAAGCAAATAAACTGATCATCATGAATGTGACGGAAGCGCACAGAGGGCACTACACTTGTCACGCGTGGCACACACACCTGGGAAAGCAGTACCCCATCAGCCGCGCGGTACAGCTCATAACCCTAGGTGAGTCATCGCTCCATCCTGGGAGTTCCCATCCGGGAAGCCGGGGCCACCGTTCCAACACTACCTGCATTGTCTGTGGAGGAACTAAGTTCTTGCGAAGCTGGATGACTTGCCAAGTGTCACCTGGTTTTAACTTTTGTTGCTAAATACTATGTAAATGGCTTTCACTCCTGCTTCAGAAGCAGTGCTAATTAGACAGACAGTATGAGCTGCATTTTGTAACTGAACTTGGAGGCTCCTTCTTTGGGATGGCCAAAGATGGCTCCTCCTGAGGTCTCTGTAAATAGGGTATGACAATTATTATGTTAGTTTCCCGAGGCTTTCAATTCTCTGTTAACCATGCTTCATATTAAAAATGATTTTACAATAAAATGCGGTCTCCCAAATTACTTGGGGATGGGAAGAAAGTTCAACCTTTCTGTAAATATCAGATTATGTAAGCTTTCAATAATATACAGAGAGTTATGCTAACCAGGAGTTTGAAAGTTAAAGGGGTCTCTGTTAATAATTATGCTGGGACAACAGGCATAAATAGGGAGTATCCCAAGGTCACCCAGAATACGATCACCTGACATACAGCTGAGCTTTCTTAATTCTGTAATAATTTACTTTTTTCAAAGTTTATTTTATCGAATCAGAATTAATTCCTACAAGCATCAGTGAGTTGTAATTTTCAGCAGTCACAACCATCTTGAGTTTTGGCAGTCGCTCTCTGGTCACTGTGTAGCTCTGATTTGTTTATCTTGAGATACAGCAACCAGACCAGCAGACAGACTTAATGTTCTTTTCTAATCCCTTGTGTAGACATAATGTAATTTAATCAGGGGTGGGGTCCTTTTATTTTATTTTTTTTTACTATTTGACATTCAAGTTCATAGTTTCTCAGGATTGGCCACTGGTTACCCCTTGAAGCCAGTCTTTTTGTAAATCAAAGTCAGATTAATTTCTGGAGCTACTTTTTATCTTTATGCCTGTTTTAATAAAATATGCTAAATTGCTTGACATTCTACTCTTGGGTCATTGTTAAAGGCACCGAATGTCAGCAGGCCCAGCATGGAGTGGCCCTCTGGGGAGTGGTCTGGCGGGCAGTGCCTGGCCCCAGCCCCTCCCCCGCGCTTGGGAGAGGCGGTCCGCAGCCCCAGCCGGCGGCCCTGCGGCCAGAGGGCTGCGCCTGGGTCTCCTCCCTTCGCGTCTGCCCTTCCAGCTCCCGGCCTCCTGCCACAAATGCTTGAGGCACTTGAAGGAATATCTGGCCAGATGCCGTGGGGTGTATTTTGATATATTTGGCCAAGTGTCATCACGCGAGATTCTGATCTGTACGAGACTGAGAGCCCTGTGTATGCTTTTTCAGAGGAAAACAGACCCATGAGGCCTGTGATCGTGAGTCCGGTGAATGAGACGAGGCCAGTGCTCCTGGGTAAGTCACCTCCAGGCAGGGTTTGCCTCGGCAATTATTTTAAATTCAAGATTTATGATAAATCGAAGCTTTACTACACAAAACCTAAGCTGTTAACTGGATATGTCTATCATTAGAGAGAAAGTGGCATAGATTGTTTCTTAAATGTTGTTTTGGATTTCTTGCCTCCTACGGCACAAATCTAACCATGTCTGATTAGGCTCTCCTTGCTTTCCTGTGGAACCTCATCACCCACGAACACCAGCCGGAGGCCAATTCCAACGGGCCAGGAACGAGAAATGTCAGTTATTTGGCACACGATGAATTTCTTATGACCAAAGTTAAGCATTTAGGGAGAAGAGTAAGACTATAGGTCAAAAAGATGATCATTCTAAAAAAAATACTTTTTCGAGTTAACATTTTTTATTTCAAGAATAAATATAAGCATCCAGACCAACACTGTACAGTGTGGTAGCCACTAACCACATGTGGCATGTATATGTAAATTTAAATTAAGTAAGTTAATTTAATTTAATTGAAAATTACTTTTTCTTAGTCAAGAGCTTAGTAGCCACATATGACCAGTGACTACAATATTAACACAAATATAGGAGATTTTCACCATCACTGAAAGTTCTATTAGAAACCACTGGTCTAAACATAAAATCAGATTTTTATATCAGAAGATCAAAAATCAAGTTGGCATGAAGAATTCTTTTCTGTAATAGTAACTGCATGAAGTCCATGAACAACTGTTCAGAGATTAGATGATAAGAATTTGTGACCTATGGATTGTGTTATTTTGTTATTCGGGGTAGAAGGTAATATAAAGACATTCTTACATATAAACCAACAGATGTGAAAACTCAAAATTACGTGGATGCCAATAGAATTGAGAGTAGTATTTCCCACCTTTTTTTTTTTTTTTTAATCCTCACCCAAGGACATTTTTTCCATTTTTTACTCAGATAGAGCGGGAAGGAGAGAGAGGAAGAGAGAGAAACATCGATGTGAAAGGGACACATCGAGTGGCTGCCACCCACACGACTCAACCAGGGCCGGGGACAAACTGCAGCCAAGGTACATGCCCCTATCAGGAACCGAACCCGGGTCTCTGAGGACCACAGGCTGACGCTCTAACCGCTGAGCCAAACCGGCCAGGGCTTCCCACCTTTTCATTACTGTTCCCCTTTGGAGCCTCGGAAGGCATTTCCCCCAGTCCTGTTCCCTTTCTCAGAGCTGAATGACACATACCCTCTGTCTGTTGATGGCACTTTGAGAAGCCACACACCATTACAACAGCTAAGATTTTCTTGGCCCTTTAAACCAATAAAACAATGAAGTGTTATATACCCGAAAGAAAATGTGCATGGATATTTTCCTGATTTGATGGTAGAGAGGGATTTCAGGGAAAAAGTAATGAAAACAGATATAAACTTGACTAAACAAACAAACAAAAAATCTGTACCAAATAATGTCTATAAACAAAAATGAAATGAAAGCAAGTGACACTGAAGGATTTTTTGGAATGGAGTTAACATCCTTAATGAGTAAAGAACTCCACATCAGTAAGTTTAATATGACAATACAATTAAATAATGGACAGTAGGGCTAACAAGCAGTTCTCTTTTTTAAAATTTTGTTTTAATCCTCACCCGAGGGTATTTTTCTATTTATCTTCAGATAGAGTGGGAGGAAAGGAGAGAGAGAGGGAGAGAAAGAGAGAGAAACATTGACTGGTTGCCTTCCACATGACCCTGACCAAGGCCGGGGACTAATGGCAACCGAGGTACGTGCCCTTGACCGAATCCAACCCGCAACTCTTTGGTCCCCAGGCCGAAGCTCTAACCGCTGAGCCAAAACGGCCAGGGCAGCAAGCATTTCTTAAAGGCAAATAAACACTAAGCTTAGGAAAAACATGTTAATTCACCATTAATTAAAGAAACGCAGGTGAAAATGTAAATGGAATTTTCTCCTCTCTGAATTGGCAATGACTGATGTGGGCGTGGGGGTAAATGTCATCTCTGCACACTCTGGACACAGTGTGGAATTGCAGTCTTGTTTGGGAGAGCGGGGTTGGCTTTTAAAACTATTTCCTTTAACTAAATTCTACTTCCAGATTTTTATTCAAAGTAGTACTTTAGGGTATGTACAATATTGATGTGCAAGAATGTTCATTGGAATAGTCATAATAGTGAAACATTGGAAACACTGTAATTAGCAATAGGAAAATAATTAATCATATTATATCTGTGTTGTGGAATACTCAGCAGCCATGAAAGAGCCAATTTCGGAAGGCTAATCGCATAAGCCAACATTGTCAATGCAATAATAGTTATGAATAGTAGATAATAACATCCCATTTAAAAAATTGCATATGTACATAGACGAGATAAGAAATGAGATGCATAATGTTACTAATAGTGGTTATCTCTGGGTGGTAGGTTTAAGGGTAATTTTTCTTTTTCTTTGTGATTTCCTTTAATTTTTTTATTCAATAACCATTTGTTAATATAGATAAATATATCACATAAAAATCAATTAATGTCATGATTAAATTAAAAATGCATTGCTTTGTAGGATCCCAGATCCAGTTGATATGCAATGTCACTGGCCAGTTTACTGACTATGTCTCCTGGAAGTGGAATGGGTCAATGATCGATGATGATCCAGTGCTGGTGGAAGAGTACAGTCTGTGAGTACACCCTCAGCCAGCCATGCAGTAGAGAAGGTTAGGTGTTAAATTGCACATCACTTTATACAATCTTGAAGGTTTAACCTAATACCAAAAGTTACTTAGCAGTTGGTTGGTTCTTAACCCTTTGCTATCCATATTGAGTTTTGCTAAGCTAAACAGCATTTATACGATCTTGTACATTTAAGATAAAAAAATTCATGTCGTTGTGGTGCAAATTTAGGATCAGTTGCAAAGCTTTCTCTTAAATTAGTTATATATGTTGCACCATTCCATTGAAGCAGTTTTCCAAAACAACCCTTCATGTTATTCCATTTTTTAAGTAGTCTAACAAGGGTGCATAAAATGGAGTCAATAATCATGCACCCCACTGCTCAAGTCCCCAGTGGCTCCCTATAACTTCTCTAGGGATAACTCCTGACTCCTTAGCATTGCCTTTAAATTCTTTGTCATCTGCCTACTCTACTCATGTTTTATGCATTCTTCTCTGTGCCCCATGGAGTCCAGAATGGATATGTCCATATTTTTTTTTCTTGGAAACTGGTGATTTTTATTCAATTTCTCTGCTACTGAGTCTTTTACTGATAATGGACCTAGGTCTACAACATCTTAGATAAGTGTTACTAACAGCCTGATTGTTATACCTGTGTTTAGGGCTGGTGGTTATTTCTGCTGCAATTTATGCAATAAATAAAGAAATAAACCATGCACAGGTATCTTATTTGTTGTTAATGTAGTTTACTTAAAACAACTTATTTACTCTCCCTCTCTCTTTTGAACAGAGTGGAAAATCCTTCATCTAAAAAAAGGAGTACAATCATCTTAACGCTTAATATTTCAGAAGTGAAAAGTAAATTTTATCTATATCCATTTATCTGTGTAGTCAAGGATTCTAATGGTATAAATGCAGCATACATCCAATTAATACACCCAGGTAAACAACAAAACTATTTATTAGAAATGTAATTTTGTTTTACTATGACCTTGAGGTTTGCAATGCTATTTCCTCTGCCCAAAATGCTCTTGGACTGCTGTTAACCTGGATAACTTCTTTCTTTTTTCCACATCTCAGCTAAACTATTTCTTCTGCTAGAGAGCTTCTCTATCCTGCTTGCTACCAGAACAGCTGAGGCCAGGGCCTCTGCTACGTGCTTCCACAGCACCATAATTCCTCACCACAGCATTTACCACACTTAGCTGTTTTTTAACTCGATTGTAAATAAATGGTGCTGCAGACCATTTATCTTACTAATTATTTGATTTCCAGAACTAGTAGCAAGTTAAATCCAGTCATGGTAGGTACCTAATGAATATTTTTAGGTGAATGAGGGATACACAGGGGAATCTAAATATCTACTTTCCAGAGAGGATGTCAGAAGTTACTGATTTTCATGAATTATATGATCTTAAGACATAGTATTGAGAGTATTTGTGAAACATTTTAAGATTATTTATAGTTAAATAAAAATAGGGTATTTATGAATGTGTATATGGAAGAAAATCTAAACAAACTATTAGAATTAGTAAATTAATTTAGCAAGATAACTGATATATATATGTGTGTAGTATTTCTGTATATGTCTATGAATGCCAACAGCAAACCAATGTAAATTAAATTTAAAATATAACATTTACAGTAGCATCAAAAATTATCATAGACATAGGAATAAACCTAGCAAGAGCTGTTCAAGACCTCTGTAATACAAACTAGAGAGAGAGAGAGAGAAATTGGAGAAGACCCCAATAGATATACAATGTTCATGGATTGAAAGACTCAATGTTATAAAGATGCTAGTTGTCCCCAAGTGAATCTGTAGATTCAGAACCATTCCATTCAAAATCTCAGCATTCTTTGTGCAAGTATAGATGTGTGTATGGGTGTGTTGTTGTGGGCAGGCTTATTCTAAAAGTCTATGGAAATGTAAAGGGCCAAGAATAGTCAAGATGGTCTTGAATAAATGTGACAGGTCTGGAAGATTCTTTTTTTATTCCTCACCTGAGGATATTTTTCTATTTATTATCAGATAGAGTGGGAAGGAGGGAGAGATAGAGACAGAGAGAAACATCCATGTGATAGAACCACATCGACTGGCTGCCTCCTGAACAACCCAACCGGGGCCAGGGACAAACTGCAGCTGAGGTACATGCCCTTGATCGGAATCAAACTTGCGACTCCTTGGTCCGTGGGCCAACGCTCTAACCGCTGAGCCAAACCGGCCAGGGCTAGTCTGGAAGATTTATACTATAGATATCATGATCTTGTATGAAGCTACAGTTATGAAGACCGCATACATAAACTATCAATTGAGCCAATTGGCTCTTGGTCTGGAAAAAGATATATCTTGATTTCTACTTCATACCAAAATCAGTTACAGATGGATCAAAGACCTAAACTGAAAAAGTAAAATAAGAAAGCGTTTAGATTCTCTTTTCTCGATGCCTACACGGCCCCTGACATTTACAAGCCACTTTCTTCTTTTCTTCTTCTTCTTCCCTCCCCTCCCCCTCCTCCTCTGCCCCTCCTCTTCTGTAATCAGTCATGGATGAATAATTAGCCAGTGACACCTGGAGGACAAGGAAGTGTGAAGCATTCTGTGTGGCACCCCTAACCCCTTTTTCCTTTCTGTCACCTTTTCCCACAGGACTCTTCTGCCTCTCGGAACTGTAGCTGGCTTTTGAGTTACAGTGACTCATTTTACTGCTCTATCCTATGGCCTTTGTTACTTTTATTTTTCTATGAGATTGTATACTATACTATTTAGATGCAAATTTAGTACAATGCACTGTAGTTTTTTGGTTTTTAACATGGTAGCCATTGTAGACGGCTTTGTACAGTAACATCCATTATTAAGTGATGATGAGTGGGTTGGTACTCCCTGAGATTTGGGACTGCAGGACAGTACCAACCTGGTTTCTCTGGGACGATCATGTTTCATTTGTTATGCTCAGATTTTTTATTCTTTTGGCTCTAATACTTGTTTCCTCTTTTTTCTACTATAGTTCCCAGTTTCCAGAAGCACATGATTGGTATATTTGTCATGTTAACAGTAATAATAACGAGCTCTGTTATCATCTATAAAGTCTTCAAGGTTGATATAGTGCTTTGGTACAGGGATTCTTGCTATGATTTTCTCCCCCAAAAAGGTACAGTTGACAAGAGGGGCTGGTTAAGAGATGTAGAAGATAACTAAGAGGGTTTTTACTTAAAATTTAAAATGAAATGTGACTTATAAAAATAGTAGTTATTCTTATATACAATTATAGTTTCTTTCATAACTGAACAGACTGAAAAGCGTTGTTTTCCAAGTTACTGCTTTAGTGTTCATATGGTGGGATGAACAGGCGTTTAGAGCCTCTGTTTGTAACTCCGGTTATTCAGAAGCCATTGTGCTGAGCAGGACACAGGTCACCCACAGTTTGCCATCAAATTGAAGAAAGAAGCACTCTCTCTTTTGTTTAAACCTTGCAAATAAAAAATGAGTACTGCAATAATATATAAAATGGAAAATGGTAAAATTAGTGCTTAACACTTGGAGGAGAAGATAAGAATTGGGAGGTAATTCCCATACATAGAGGTGAAGAATTCTGCATGTGAGCTGGTCAGCAAATAATACCAGAACAACTGTGCAGTAAAACATAATAAATAGAAATTTGTAAGAGTATAACACTTTAAAATGGTGTGTTGTTTGGTATTGCAGATTCATATCATCATACGACAAAATTAAAAATTTATTCTGAAATTCATGTTTGCACTATTGACTTTACCAAATCTCTTATTTTTCCTTGTGGTTCTAACATATTACATCTTCTCTTTAGTTTCAGATGGAAAGACCTATGATGCATATATACTGTATCCAAAGGCCCTTGGGGAAGGGTCTACCTCTAACTCAGATATTTTTGTGTTCAAAGTCTTGCCTGAGGTCTTAGAAAAACAGTGTGGATATAAATTGTTCATTTATGGAAGGGATGACTACGTCGGGGAAGGTATGAATGTAAAAGGGAAAAGTAAAAATCTTGTTTTGAGATTAATTTTATTATTAGATTGATGGGGTTAGGTTGGGTTTCATCTTTCTAGAAGACGGGCTCCCATATTGAACAATTTAAAGACTCTCTTCAGTGTTGCATAACGATCGTTTTCGCATCATTTAATGCAGAGTATTTACTTTTCTCATATTTTGTTGAAGGAGCAATTAACTCAGTTGTATTTCGTTTTAGAAAACTTAACAATTAGCTAGATCTGAAAATTGCTTTACAACCAATACAGTAAAATAGGAGTAATGTAAATTATCTGGTTTAACAAAGGAGATTTTTACATTTCTACTGAAAGTGTTCTGAGTCCTAAGTGAAATGTTCAGCTTTTGTGGGTCAGTTTTTTTGTTTTGTTGTTATTATTATTATTTTTTTAGCTATTCTTTAACTTGGGGACCTCCTTTAGTCTTAAGTAAGGCAAGGGTGTTAGGAGAAGGGTGTTAGGAGATGGTGTTAGGGGATGGAGTGGGAGGAGCCTTCTCGAGTTTTGGTTTTGGAGAGAATGATTACAAATAGAAATTGTACTTGCTATGCCATGTTTTGTGTTTCTCAGACTTCATTGAGGTCACTAATGAAAACATAAAGAAAAGCAGAAGACTGATTATTATTCTGGTCCGAGAAACGTCGGGGTTCAGCTGGCTGGAGAGCTCGTCTGAAGAGCAGATCGTGATGCACAACGCGCTCATTCAGGACGGAATCAAGGTTGTCCTGCTGGAGCTGGAGCAGATCCAGGACTATGAGAAAATGCCCGAGTCCATTAAGTTCATCAAGCAGAAACATGGGGCCATACGCTGGTCGGGGGACTTCACGGAGGAGCGGTCACTGTCTGCAAAGACAAGGTTCTGGAAGAGGGTCAGGTACCACATGCCGGTTCAGCAGCCCCCTTCATCCCAGCACCAGTGGCTGTTTCTGGCCACTAGGCCAGGTTCCAAGGGGAAACTGCAAAGGGAGGTACACATGCCTCTGGGGTAGCAGGGCAAAGCTTGTCCAAGAGTTCCTGGGGTGACTCCTGCCTTACGAGCTCAGGCCGCGCTGTGCCCCACCGTCTGTGCAGTCACGATCCCTCCTCCCCAGGGGCACCTGCGATCGCACTGCCAAGGGAGCAGGACGTGACAGCAGGGCCTGGCCATTCAGAGCAGAGCAGTGGGAAGGACTTTAAAACGGTAGCAAATCCCTCTGAACTGCTTCAGAAAAGGCACTGGGAGAGCACACAAGAAGAAAGAACATTTAGAAAATGTAAATTACCTGGACACAGTCTTATGAAGTCATTGACAGTTCAAGGGGGAGGCTGTGGCCAAACTGGGGATCACAGGGTCCCTTGAGTGGCCAGTGGAGTCTCAGAAAAAGCAGGAATGTTGGAGAACTTTCCGTTTGTTTGCCTTGCATGTTTGCCACGTATCTGCGGCCAGCAGTCAGCTTCCAAAGACTGGGTTTCACTCTCCAGACCTTTGAAAGTGTCCTTTCGGTGAGCAGAGGAACTCTTCAGGGCCCCAAGGTTCTGAGTTAGCCTTGGCTTTCTGCTGGGAAGAGAATTTCAAAAGCAAGAGCAGCAAAGAAGCTTTCCCCTGATGACCATTCTGCCCTGCCTTATGCTTCTGCATTCCACTCAGCTCATTACTTCTTTGAAAGGACGGCTTCCAGGTCACTTCCTCCTGCACTGTCCCACACCGGCCTGCGGCTCAGCTGTCCCTGGTGAAACACCCCTCTCATCTCATCCCGCTCTTGCTAAAACGCCTCCGCTGGGCTCTCCTGCTTCCGCAGCTCCAGCCCAGGTCCTGCCCTGAGCATTTCACTGACCCCCCAAACCCGATCTGTCCAGCCAGCCATCCCCTGGGTCCTGCTGTGTGAGTTCCCAGGTCTGCCCCGTGGTCGGGGACCTGCCCCCAGTCTCCCTCTCTCTGCCCTTCCTGTCTCCTCTGACCAGCTGATCAGAATTCAAAACTCACTCCCACTCTGTACCCCGAGACTGGGCTTCCCCCAGTGGGCCGGCCCGGCGAGCAGCCCCGCCGTCTGCGGACAGGCCGCGCTGTGGGTCATCGCGGCGATTTGACGAGGACGTGGGTTTGTGCAGGACTCCGTGTAGATGGCCGCAGATGCCGTGTTTGCAGTCATCTCGGGCTGCAGAGGCCGCAGCCCGTCTGCGGCAGGCGGCCTGCTGCGGGCCTGGGGACGGCTGGGTCCCCCGCCTCCCCGCCCTCCCCGCCCCCCCGGCCTCCCCGGCCTCCCCGCCCCCCCGGCCTCCCCGCCCCCCCCCGGCCTCCCCGCCCCCCCCCCCGGCCTCCCCGCCCCCTCCCCGGCCTCCCCGCCCCCTCCCCGGCCTCCCCGCCTCCCCGCCCCCCCGCCCTCCCCGCCCCCCCCCGGCCTCCCCGCCCCCCCCCCGGCCTCCCCGCCCCCTCCCCGGCCTCCCCGCCCCCTCCCCGGCCCCCCCGCCCCCCCGCCCCCCCGCCCCCCCGCCCCCCCGCCTCCCCGCCCCCCCCCCCCCCCCGGGCCTCCCCGCCTCCCCGCCTCCCCGCCTCGCGCGTGATGGGAGGAGCGATGGTTTTCTAGGACGGTGCGGAGTCCAGGCATGCTTCTACTTAAGAAACCAAATTCCGAGCTTGTGGATGTTGGAATTTATAAAAATGATGTTAGAGGTTACGAAGGATTTTCTGCTTTCATATATATAGTCTTCCCCTAAAGCCAAATGTGTCCTGGTAAATTAAAAATGAGAGCAAGCTGGGTTTTCCTGACAGAGAAAAATATCTGTCAAAACTTAATAGTTCTCAGGATAATTAGAGAAAAACCCTGGAAAATCACAAAGCCATGTTTACTACTGAAGTCATATGAACATGGGTAGGCCGGGTTTTTATTTTTGTGTTTCCTCAGAAGTAGTCGGAACTAGACTGAAGCAGTTCCTCACCCCTCCCACCTGTTTTCTCCTGGGTTCCAGCCGGCAGGGTGGGTAATAGGCTGTCCGGAGCTGTTTCCAAGCAGCTGCATTTTTACCAGGCAGCACCTGGCGACTGCAGCCAGGAGTTTGGGGGTGCAAGAGGGGGCGGTCATCTCCCAAAAAAGTGGACCAGATGCTTTAAATTGTGCCGAGCAGTTTTAGTCGGTCATCTGTAAAATATGTTTGCATGCATAGTTCCAAGAAAGCCAATTTTGAAACTCAGAATTAGCAGCAAAATTGACCAGAAACAGAGAAAACTGCTGGGAGAGACCAGTGGCACTGTGCCTGGGGTTTAGGGACAGATCAGGGACATGCGGCAGAGGAGGGCCCCAGGGGCAGAGTGGGAGTTGCTGGGTCCCTCCCACTCGCATGGGTGGACTTCAGAGGAAAGAGCTGCACTCCTGGTCCCTGGGAACATCCTGTTTCATTGTTTTCCCAAGACACTGCTTTTAAGCTCTTCCTTTCAGGACTTCCCTGTTAATTAGGTTTTACTACATTTGCTGATGATAATTCTTTTGTAAGCCAGTGTTTAAGAAAAGTTTGCACATGCACTAAAGTGTTTCATTTCATGTTGTTAACACTGGCTTGGGCAGAATTTGTGTTTTCATTCTCCTGACTATTTTACTTGGAATTTCAGGAAAGGTATTGAGCCAATTTTTTAAAGGACATTTTTGATAAATTATATTTGTGATGGTTAATGATAAAGAGCTTTTTACAAACTTGTGTATATAATTCTGCAGCAGATACCAAATATTTTTATATAGTAAGAACACCAATTCATGTACGGCATGTTATCATTGATCGATGGACTCAACTTGTTTTCTAATAAAATTGTCAAAACCTGGTACTGAGTGTCCTCATGAAAAGCTGTTTCTTTGCCTGCCACCTCCTGGGCTGACCCGCACATGCCCAGGTCTGATGTGGGGAGAGGCACCGTCTGCCTGGGGAGGTCGGGGTCCTTAGCCACACAGTGAGTCCTAAGTCCCATTTGTAGCCTCAACCATACTTCCTCTGTTTGCTTGCTTCTAAAGGGATCGATTGTCTATCTTATTATTATTGACCCTTTAGCTCTCCAGCAGATAAGGACATTTGTATAGCCTTTTACCTTTTACAAAAGGTTACTTACTTTCTCCTTTCACCCAGGAGGTAAACACAGTGGCCAGCGTGGGGTCAAGCATGCAAGCACAGATTCTGGCGATCAGGGAGCCCTTCCTGCCCACCTGGTCGGCGCCCTGTCCTGCAGCAGCCGCTCTGGCAAGCACGTGGTGCCGTCACACCTGCCAGGGCCAGTCAGCGCGCAGTCGGAGCCGGCGTCCCCTGAAATCCTGCCTCTGCCCTCTGCTGGCAGTGGCCACTTGGACAAACTATTCGAGCCCTAGTTTCCTCTCCTAACACATGGGGAAAACACCAGATCCACAGCATTGTGTGAGGATTTAAAAGCTGGAACAGACCGTGACAAACAGGGCCCACATACAGCGGGGCTCAGAACATGGAAACTCAGCAGCAGTTCTACGGGTGCACCTTGTTACCTCCAGTGGGCAGAAGCTGCGGACGGGAGAGAGGAGGTTGGACAGGGAGTGGCTATGGGCACCAGGGCAGGAAGCAAAGCGACCCTGAAAGGCAGGGCAGAGGACAGGACAGCCAGGGAGGTGTGAGGGGAGGCCGCTGGGCGCTCCGGTCGCCCTCAGCCCAGCCGCTGACATTCACTGACCCTCTGCCAGCCCCAGCTTCAAAGGGTGTTTGATGGTCTAAATTAAAATAAAGAGATTACTGTGACACATTCCTGAGGGGATTTTTATAAGAAGTGAAAAGTATAAGAACTGATGAAACTGCTAGAATCATGTCTTCAGGAAGGCTGCCTACACGGAATCTCTCACTGGAGGGTCCGAGCTTCCCACAGCGCAGGGGGGCGGGGGGGGGGGGAGGTTCAGGGTTACGGCTGTGCGAGCCAGCAGCGCGGGGGTTAACCGTCGTGTGTGTGTGTGTGTGTGTGTGTGTGTGTGTTTTCCGTGTGTGTGTGTTCCGTGTGTGTGTGTTCCGTGTGTGTGTGTGTGTGTGTGTGTGTGTGTGCACAGCTCAACCCTGCTCTGCCACTCCTGTACTTTGCTTGTTCTGCCAGTTCATGTATTTTTTAACAAGCAGGAAAATCAATACTAGCAGCCATGTAAAAGGCTTGTTTTTGCCATGAGGTTTTTTATTCCTCTTTTTACCAGATAACTTTTCCTCAGAATAGCTTTTAATTAATTAATTAATTTATTTATTTATTTTGTCTTTGGAATAATTTCTTCAACTGACGCCAACTGGTGGGAAGAGCCTGAGTATAAGCCCCTGCACAGCCACAGTTTTGAAACTGGAAGCACTTGGTTCTTTTGAACTGTTGTAACCCAGGAAAACCAACCTCACTCAGACACAAAGTAATTTTGAATATTAGGGGCTTTATTACCTGTGCAGGGACTGCAGCCAACCTACCCAGAGGAGAACTGCAGCCCCGAGCTCAGGGGGAGGGTTGCTTATATAGGACAGGAGTCATTCAAGAGTTTAGCAGAGCAAGCAAGCTGCGAGTACAGAAGCGGAGGCAGTTAGCCATAAGCAGGAGGGAACGGAGGTGGGAGGGAGCTGAGGCGAAAGGGAACTGGGTGAACCGGGTCAGCACACATCTATCCTGCTATTCATTCCATTATCCAAGTTCTAAAAACTAACGAATTCGCTTAGAGGACACATTCATTTAGAGGAGCATCAGGCCAGCTGGTGCTTCCTCAGGTTGCCTCTGAAAGCTTCATAGTTGGCCTTTTGTTTATTTAATCAAGACAAAGTGATAGGAGCAGGTCATTACAGAACCTCAGTTTTCTAATCTGTAAAATAGGACTTCCAATGTTTCAAGGTTTTTATATGCGACAAAGTCCCTGCACAGTAACTAAGATAGAATCTCAAAACAAAATATATTTTTTAAATTTTAGCTCTTGGTCAGTACAGATAAAACAAAAAAAATTCATTTATCCAAAAAGAATCTTTCTCAAATTCTCCGGTTTGGGGTGTGGAGGGAGAGTAGGGCATATAATCTTGGTGCTCACTCTTAAAAAGGATGATGGCGCCCTGGCCGGTTTGGCTCAGCGGTTAGAGCATCGCCTACAGTCCAGAGAGACAGGGGTTCGGTTCCCACTAAGGGCATGTACCTCGGTTGCAGTTTGTCCCTGGCCTTGGTTGGTCGTGCGGGTGGCAGCCACTTGATGTGTCCCTTTCACGTCGATGTTTCTCTCTCTCTCTTCCTCTCTCTCTCCCTCCCGCTCTATCTGAACAACAACAACGAAAAAGGATTTGGTATTTATGACAGCAGCAAGAATTTGTAATACACAAACACAAATTACACCTGAAAAATGTACATGGGGAGGGATTTTTTTTTTATTTAATAACATTTATTTTATAGCCAAAATGTGTGTGTGTGTGTGTGAGAGAGAGAGAGAGAGAGAGAGAGAGAGAGAGAGAGAGATTGAGGGAAAACAAGAGTCACAGGAAACAGGACACAATCACACTGAACATCCGCCTTTCAGAAAGGAACATGCCTGTCTTACACACACTGCTCAGGTTTCTGCTCGGGAAGGCCCAGCTGATTAGAGCCCCTTAATCCTATGCATTCACCTTAACCCTGAGCCCAAACACTAAGGCAGCAGTTCCTGGAACTGCAGCAGCCAGACCGGTAGAACCTGTACCATCTGATTCGACTCAAGATGCTGTTGGCTTCTCTTGCATGGTACTCAGCCTGCTGGGAGAGGGATTTACTGGAGAGGGAAAGTCAAAGAAGCTTGTTTGCCATAGGACATTTGACCTGGAAGTGATCCCAAGTGTCACCTAGTTCATACTTCTGAGTGGGGTCAGGCTGCGTGGATACCACTCCACAAGTGTTCGTTAGTTTTCTTTCATTAAACATATCCTGGGAGTGATCCCTCAGACTTTAGTGAGACCGCATTGCATGTTTAACAGCCCCTGGGGGAACCCACTTCTGCTCTGCCCAGGTGACATCCAGTCTCTTCTCTCCGCTGTCACACTGGTTACCCTGCCCACTCCCAGGCCGTCCAGCTCCTCACTGGCCACCGCTGCTGTGGACAGTGGCCGTCGCTCTGAACATGCTTCCCTGCTACACAATAACCCATAACCCTGCCTTCTGCACTCTACTT